GCAATTTATGCTGTTGTAGAAATACTATTATTGTACAAACAATAACCGATATGTGTAGAATTATTTATTTTTTAAATTTAGTTTATTTAATATTTAGGATTTGTTTTTATTCTTTGCATGTATGGATGTACAACATCAATGCCTGTTAACGCCAGAAGAGGGCGCTATATCCCTTGCAACTGTAGTTACAGATAGTTGAGTTGCCATGTGTATGCTGGGAATTGAACCCTGGTCCTCTGCAAGAGCAGTATGTGTTCTTAACCACTGAGCCATCTCTCTAGTCCATTAAAAAGGAAAAGAAATATTTTAACATTTATTTATTAGTGCGTGTGTGCGTGTGCGTGTGCGTGTGTGTGTGTGTGTGTGTGTGTGTGTGTGTGTGTGTGTGTGTAGGTCAGAGGATAATTTGTGGGAGTAGGCTCTCTCCTTCTCCCGTGTGAATTCCAGGATCAAACTCAGGTTGTCAGCCTTGGTGGCACTGAGCCTTATTGCTGGCCCCAGGAACGTTTTTAAAGCCATTGACTTCAGACAAGTATGACAAGTCCTCACCCTCCCGGTGGGTGTCGCACCCTCCTATCACTGTCACTCCAGCCTCTTCTGGTTCTTTCACAGATGTGCTGATGGGTTTGTCTTTTCTTCCTGGCCTCCAGTTGTCTCCTCCCTAAGACATGGCTTCAGTGTCTGTCACCTCGCACTCTTACGTTGTCCCATCTCCTGTAATGCGGACTTACATGCTGTGAGTTTGCTTGTATTCCGAGGAGCTCTCTTGACTTCACATGCTGCCTCAGTAGACCTGCCAGGCCTCTCTCTCTTTTATAACAAAACTCCTTAAGAGTGTTGCTGATCAACGGTCTCTATTATTAACGGGCTTCTCAGTTTCCTATGATCCTAATTCCGCCATCCTTTCTTCCTTACCTTTCTCCACTTACCGACTCTCTGAAGGGCTGAGTGGAAGATCTACTTCCTTCAGGACATACTCCTTACTGGACTTGTGCTCGCCTCTCCAGAGTTTTCTCTGACCACTGCACCTCGTTTCCTGATTACCACACCTGGGCCCAGTGCTCTGAGCCTTTCCTAACGCTCTCACTGCTTGCCTGAATGTTACGAGTTCCAAATATATATTTATCCAGCTCAGACTTCTCCCTGCGTGAAAGACTCCAGGAATGTAGCCCCAGAGGCATTTCTGTGCTCATTAGAAAAAGCCACTTTTTTCCCCCTGCAAGCACTTGACTGCCATCTTCTGGGAAGTTAGCAGAGTCGACATACGCTAGATTAAACAGCCAGCATTTGGTGTGTGTGTAGGTGAGAGACTGTACGGTGTACCACTCAGTGAGTCCCCACCCCAACTCCCGACTCCTGCCTCCTTCCTCATCTCACCACAACCTCTTCCTTTTAGTCTCTTCTACTTCAGAACCGATTCTGATTACTGAGGTTGAATCCTGTGAAGCTACTGTTGGCACCCTCCTCCCACAGCCCCCCCCCCCCCCCCCCGCTTAAACCCATCAGTAGGTCCTGTTTATTTTTCCTTCTAAATATGCTAGAATTCACCCATTTCTCAACACTTCACTTGGGTGCCTCCACTCCAAGCCCCTTCAACTATGACTTGGATTATTCTAGCATTAGCTTCCTCTAGATCCCCATTTGGCTGTCCCAACACAGTAGCCAGTGTTAACAATCATTTCAATCACATCACCTTTTCTTCCTAACCCCCTCCCTCTGTAGTCTACTGTATTACTTGGGGTGAGAACAGAAGTACTTAAAATGGCTCTCGATCTTCCAACCTGTCCCTATCTCGGCCATATTGGCCTTCTCATTCCTCCTCATCAAGCCCAGCATGCTCTGCCTCCAGGCACTCTGTCCCCACACTTGTATACACAGAGATACCTCGCTCCTTCCTCTTCTTCAGTCGTTGTTCAGAGACTTTCTTTTTCTTTTTATCACATCAAAGAAGCCTTACTCAAACAAACAAAACATGACTCCAGAATCCCCCCAGTATCTAATGCCCCCTATCATTTTATTGTTGCTGGGACCCTTATCATCTGGCATGTGCGCATTGTTACTATGTAACTTCATTAGATATCAACTTTGTGAGCTTCAAGACTTCTCTTTCCCTCTATTAAATCCTAGTTTCTACAAGCAGATTTCGATGAAGATTCGTCAAATAACTAAATAAATAAAGACAACTCCGAATCCATTTGTGAGACAAAGAGGTTTCCGATGATCCTGCACACGTAGGCTCTCCAAGTTCCAGGAGTCCAGGAGCTAATTTAAGTCTAATTGGCTTTACAACCTTCCTGAAGGACATCAGTTAGGTCCCTGCAGAGACAGCAAGTAGGTGCCATCTAGTGGCAACAAAGGAAACCCCAATTTGTGCTACTCAATTTTTTTTGTCATTAAATTTTTATTAATTTAATGTTGACAATTTGACACAGTTACAGAATGTATTATAAACCCATTCAGTCCCTTTTGCTCTCTTTTGTCCCCTCACACCCCTAAAGACACCATTCTTCTCAACTAGTCCCTGTGCTTCATGTCTTACTTCTATACGTCGGTCTTGTGCAGCCGCCACGCTGCTGTTTCATGAAGAGAGTGGTTTTTAAGAACTTCCCAGTCCTCCAGCTTTCCTTCCCCCTTCCCGTGATGTACCCTTGGTCTTAGTGAGTGTGACTCAGTTTTCCTATTTAGGGCCAAGCACTCAACCAGCCATTTTCAGTGGACAATATTGACCTGGAAATTAACAGTTTTATTTCTTTTTGACTTACTTCCTCCCCACCTCTCCACTGTGTTTGGGGATCAACTTCAGGTCCTTGCCTGTGCTCAACATCTATACATCATTGAACTAGATCCTGAGCCCTTTCTAATATTAATTTTTATTTATTTTTTGAGATCCAATTTTCTTTTCTTTCTTTTTATTTTTTCCCCTTGCACATTGAATCCTCACATTCCTGCAAGTTGCATGGATAATGAAATGAAGGCCCGTTCTGATGAATTATATTCTGATACCAAAGGCAGGTGGTAGAGTAAAACTATGAAAACCAGGCCAGATATTGAGGTGATTTCTCTAGGGCAGATCCCTGAAGCCTGATGAACTAATACTGTGTGTACACCAGTATCGAAAGGATGAGCCGACAGGGCTAGCTCAGGATGTTGCAGAGAGTGGGACTGGTTATTATGTGGAGAACCTAAGAAGAAGAGAGAAATCGTGCCTGTACATCCCGATAGGAAAGATGGCAATTCTGCTAGTCTGTGACTGTCACACTCTGACATTTGGAAAGCTCGGTCCTTTCAGAACATTGGTGCCTTGAAGCAGAACTCCAGTCCACTTCAGGCGTCTTTGTCCTTTTCATTCCCATAGCCAGGGTGGAGCTGGGAGATGCTTGTCTGCTGGCAGAAGACTGGAGCAGCGGTCAGAGAGGGCAGGTGATGAGAGTCCCGGGAAGGAGGTGACCTCTGCGTGTGGACACTCGGATTAGTCCCTGGTCCTTTCATTTGTTGACCATTGTTTGTGCAGTACTAGAAGGCAACGGCTGAAACAATGGAACAAGATAAGGAAGCTGATTTTATGTCAGCATAAAGAATTATTTTCCAATTAAAACTGATTTTTAAACCCTCAAACCAGAGGTCAAATCTTTAGCTCACCATCAGTGAATGGGTTCAAGCAGAGATTTCTGCCAGGGATTTGTTGACATAGTTAAGATTCTGATTTCTTCTTTCTTCCTGTATGGCATGAAATTCTCCCCACCCTTCAGTACTCTCTTCCTACTCCATTTCTAATCCTTTTCCACTTCTCTATCTCTGCATGTCCTAGCATTTAGCTGACCGGTACCTCCTCCACGAAGCCTGTGATATAATCTGTGGCTCCTCAAGTCAATGCTAAGGTGCTTGATGCAGAGGGGCCGCACTCTCAAACAATGTGCTCCTTGGCTTTGGCCAATTTTATTGGTTGAATTTTCAATGTCTACAGTGAGGAGTATAGAAAGGCTGCCAGTCCTTTTCTCAACTATCCATTGGGAGCAAGAGGCTCATCCTTGCTGTATGTTTGATGGAGCAGTTCTTCAGCTTCGAGAAATAAAAATATCTGCCCCAAATTGTTTACTATTGTGACTATTGTAAAGTTTTGGTTTCATAGATATCTATAGAAGTGAGTATCAAAATTGATAGCATAGTGGTTGGGAGGCCGTGACATGTCTCTGTAATTCCACTACTTAGGAGGCCAAGACAGGAGTTTGAGACCAACCTGGGATATATAGCAAATTCCAGACCAGCCTGGACTATATAGGCAGACATTGCCTCAAAAAAAAAAAAAAAAAAAAAAAAAAAAAAGGAAAAGAAAGGGAATAAAAAATGCCAACCAACCAACCAATCAACCAAACAACCCCTCCACATTTTTTTTGTGTTATTTATGCAGTTATTTTAGGATTATTTCTTCTGCCTACATAGTAATTTTTTGACTGCAGGCAAATACTTTTGATCTAATATTGCATCTATTTTTTTTCTTGAGAAAATTTCTACTTATACAAGTTGATATTTTGAATAGTATGTTGCTAAATCTAAAACACTGCATTGAAAAAGAATTGAGCAAATACTATTTCCAAGTCACCTAGCTTCTGAAGATGTAGTGTGGAACTAGCATTCCATCCTAATGAAATGGTGATGTTTCAAAAGGAGGTGCCAACAGCACAGTGTTCGTAGATGGGCCTATGTGCCCCAGACCTACAATCTTTAATAACAGGGTGCCACTTATTTTTTGTTTTATCATTTAGGCAGCCACAATTATTTTTTTATCCTTTGGTAGGCTTGATGGCTTAAGGACTTAATTCTTATCTGAAGCTTAGCAAATTTGACATTTTTAGAGAATCATCAGTCTTGGTAACTGCTGAGTTGTTTTGGTAGCTGAGGAACATTGGTAATTTGATTTGTTCTTAAATAAGATATTGTTTCCTTGATGTAATCCTGATATAAATGCATGCATTTCTTTGGTTTTTTTTTGTTTGTTTTAGAATATGCTGAGTTTCTACATTGCAAAGGGAAAAAATTTACAGATTTTGATGAAGTTCGCCATGAGATTGAAGCAGAAACAGACCGAGTAACAGGAATGAATAAGGGCATCTCTTCCATACCCATCAACCTACGAGTCTATTCTCCACATGGTAAGTGCAATGTTCAGATTCGAAAGATTCTTCTCAAGCATTTTTCATTAGACAAATTCACATTCATTGGACAACAAGCAAACAGTGTGGGTCTCTGGGATGTTTGGGTCACGCTGCTGGTGGTGGAGTTCAAAGAGCTATTTAGAGAGCGGCAGGAGGGGAGTGATAACATTGTAATTGACTTGGGAATTGAGAAAAATTCCTTTTTTAAAAAAATATGAACTCTCAGAAATCAGAAAATGGGCACATGAAAACTTACTTTGTTATTATTATTATTATCTTTAATCTTTGCCAAAAATTTTTAGAGGTATGTGGTTGGGTCCTCCTGTGTTGATCTCCCTGTAATTATTTTGTATTTCTATTTATTTTATTTCTGAGGAACCAAGTGTGACTCTTATCCCTAGACAGTCATAATAATTTCCTAGGGACTTGATACCTACCCCTGGGAGACAGCAGTTGAGTTGAACTGGAGTCGCCTTGCCACTGATGCGTGTACAGCCCACTCACTCCACTCAAAGCACTGCGAATGGCCCACAGCTTCCCCACAGGCTAAGTGGCTAACCTTCTGTGAACAACATACGATGCTTTCAAAGAGGAAGGGCAACTGTTACCCTGAGAATTTTTATACCACTTGAAGGCGATGCACAAGACTGGCAGACAGCATATGCATGTATTGTTCGGTGTTTTAATTATAGCTGCCTAGTTATGACAGTCAGGGACGACAGCTCGCTCAGCAAACTGGTAGGCATGTAAATCAATGCCTTTCAGATTATGTTAAGATGATCATTTGCCTTAGCTCAGTCATGTAAAAATAGAGAAAACTAGCAAACCCATTTTGTATTCCATGCATTTCCTTCTCCTCACTTGTGATGGAGTCATTCACATACACAACACGTAAAGCTGAGCTAAGTGGCAGATGATGCAGCCACCTAGGATGTCTTTTAGACAACCTTGTGGGTATCTTTTGGACTGAAGGTATCTGTATGACTCTCCCATTCTTTCCCACACAGTGTTAAATCTAACGCTAATCGACTTACCTGGAATAACGAAAGTGCCTGTGGGAGACCAGCCACCAGACATTGAGTATCAGATCAGAGATATGATTATGCAGTTCATCACAAGGGAGAACTGTCTGATTTTGGCTGTCACCCCAGCTAACACTGATCTTGCGAACTCGGATGCGCTGAAGCTAGCTAAAGAAGTTGATCCTCAAGGTGAGTGTGTGGCCACGATGATGAGGAAGAATCATTGCAGGATGGTGAGAGTGTGGGTCATATTTACAGGTAGCCCAAACTCTCATGACTTGATTTCACAAAATTCCACAAGGTTAGTGTACGTAAATATTTTATAGTTCAGGGGCCAAACTAAGGAATACAGTCAAGTGCCACATAATTAAAAATAACATTAAATGAAATCCAAGAACATAGACACTTTCAAATCTCATTGAGTGCTTATTTTTAAAGGTTAATAAAGTAAATTTCTGCAATAGCAGAATTCCATTTACTTAGTTATTATAGGAGGTACCTAAATGTCTCAATTAGAACACTTTCTATTGTCTTTTGTTTACTATTTCTTGAAAATAGGAAAAGTTAAAAAAAAAGCATAACAGCTCGGGAGGCAGAGCCAGGCGGATCTCTGTGAGTTCGAGGCCAGCCTGGTCTCCAAAGCGAGTTCCAGGAAAGGCGCAAAGCTACACAGAGAAACCCTGTCTCGAAAAACCAAAAAAAAAAAAAAAAAAAACAAAAACATAACAGATTAAATAGTTTGTATTTATCTGATATATACTATAAAATCAGGGATTTTTTCTTGTTATTTGCATGTCAGAATCCAGAAACATCTCTTTATGATGTTTTAATTTTCCCTTTCTTTGAGTTGAGAAATGATCTTTCTTCAAAGACCTTATTGGCACACCCTGGTGTGTGTGTGTGTGTGTGTGTGTGTGTGTGTGTGTGTGTGTGTGTGTGTGTGTGTGTAAAGAAATAATCAAAGACTCTCAGATGTGTGCTTTTAGCATGAAGGTGCATGGTCCTCAACTCTCTCAACTCTAGGACTTCTAGCTTTTGTTATGATTAATTTTCCCCATTTATTTATTCCCTTTGTTTTTAATCCTTACTATTTCTTATTCTCTCCTTTGAACTGTTTCTCTTTCCTTTGTTTTTAATCCTTACTATTTCTTATTCTCTCCTTTGAACTGTTTCTCTTCTACATACATTTCTCGGCCTTTTTTGTTCTACACATTTGCATGATTGATTCAACTAGATTCTCTCCTCTAATTAATTCTTCATTTATGATAGAATTTTTGAAGTTCCAAGAGCATTTTCTTATTTTATTAATGTTATTTTTGTTTTACAAATATCAGGCTGCTCTTGGTTTCCTGAGTGCAATGATTAAGGATTGTAATTAGAACTTTTCAGATTCTTCTTTTATAATGCATTTAATCTCAGAGTGCATTGTTTTCTGGTTGCCTTGGTCTCTGTCTTGGATACTAGAGACCTCTGTCAAATGTGTGATGACTTTCTGTTACTTGTCCATTGATGAGAGTAAAACACTGATGCATATGCAGGATTGGGATCCATTGGTTAGTAGGCTTTACCTTCAGCAATCAGGCTGTGACCTGGCCATTTTTGCTGGTAGAATTTGTGAGCTGATAGAATGGATATTTTCTTTTGAGATGGTCTAGGGTAGGCCATATGCCCAATGTATTTAAAGCCAAGAGGAAGAGCACACTGGTAGGGTGGAAGGGAAGTAGTTCTCACCACTAAGTGTAATATATAGACTTTAATTAATCTCTCTGATTTCATATGACATCACCTAAGGTCTGAGTCGGAAGATGATCAACCCAGCTTCTTCTAAAGCAATCTTAAGTACTCTGCTGAGATTGGGGAAGGGTACCTGTGCATTATGTGAGAAGGAGGAAAGCTTTTGAGCTCTCACAATGTCCTGAATGAGCCAGTTCTCTTATTTTCAGCTCTATCTATGCTCCCGGTTATCCAGTTCTGGAGCTTTTTACAAGTTCTGAAATAATAATTGGTTTGCTTCTATTTGTTTCTTCAATACCTTGAGATGAGAGCTTAGAACAATGCAGATGAAGGCTATCAATGCCCAGAAACAGACCCACACCAGTGCCCCAGGAGAGTAAGATTGTAGATACAGACTGTAATGCACCTATTAAAATGATACCATACCATGCCTGTCCACAGCCTTTTGTCTCCAAGAGGCAAGGCTATGGTTGTGTAGTTAGGGCACAGATAGTCCTTCCAATGTTGACTTTCACTGACTGTAGTGACATTACCTTCTGCGAAACCCACATGTAATCAATCTGGACAATGCTTCCTGCAGGAGTGAAGAGGAAGTCATACCTAGTCCCTGACTCCTCCTTCATTCTACCCTGACTTCGCCTTCTTGAACCCCCTTCTTTTCTCATCTAGACTCTGTACAGGTGGTGGTAAGTCTGAATTGTCTTGCTGTCATCCTCAAGACTTCACAAAAAGCTAGTAAAAGAAAATACAATAATGAATTATGTGTTCCTTGTGCTGTTGTTGGGTTCCATGCTCTGCAAACGTTTGTTAGGTCTAGTTGAGTTTTAGATTTACTCTTTTCTTCTGGACCTTGTGTCTGGTGTTCTCTTATTAAAAGGATGGCAGTAATGCCTCCATTAGTGTTGAATTATCTATATTTTCCTTTAGCTATGCTAGTCCCCCCTGCCACCAGGGGTTTGCCATGTTTTTAGATGTATTTATAATAGTTATTTCTTCTTGATGGATTGCCTTTTATCATCATGTAATGTCCTCTAGAAACTTTATCTTGTTTCATATTTGTGTCCCCCCCAGTTCTCATGTGGCTGATGTTTAACTCTCCATTCTTTACATTCAATTGTTTTAGTCATTTTGGAACCAAATGTACCTATTGTAGATAGTATATAGTTGGATCACAAATTTAGCTTATTAATATGTTAAACATGTCTGCTCCTCCTGTCCCTGCAAGTTCCCCTTGGTCCCTACATATCTCTTTCCCATATTCATGACCTTCTGTTTTAAGTCCTACCAAGTTTAGCCTGGGTTGTCTGTGTGACCATGGATTTGGGCCTCCCCACTGAAGCCTGGGGGACTCACCAGTGGACTGAGGACTGGATACTGAGCCTTTTCCTCTCTCATAGTCTGTCACATGCCAACATTTCAGCAGTGATGTTAGGGACCCTCTAAACTTTGTCCCATCCATGGCTTACTATTGGTCCTGCTGTGCATTCATGGCTGCCATGACTGTATTGTGCTTAGAAGAAGGCGTTGTCAAGCACTTCTGCCTATCTTCCAACCCTTCCATTCTTTCTGGCTGATCCATGAGCCCTTGAAGGAGTAATAAAATCCACTTCGTTAATGTCTGCCTTTTGACTGGAGTGTTTAACTTATTTAAATTTGGTGTCACTACTCATAGCCTTGAATCTATGTTTGTCGTTTTGTTTTTCTATATTGTATCCTATGTCTTGATGCTGTGAAATGTCTTCCTTTATGTCACAATCCAGTTTCCAGGGCATCACTCCAGTTCCTTGTTATTTATTTACCTGTGTTTGAAGTTATTTTCTTAGTGATTGCTCTAAGAATACTCTTAACATTAAATTATAGCTACTTTGTTTGGATCAATGTCAACTTAATTTTAACAGTACACTGAACTTTGCTGCTTTTTACTATCAATGCTGGTCTTTTCTAGGCACTTCAAGACATTGTACATTACATGCCCACCAACATAAATATATATCTGTTCCTTTTTATGGTGTTTTTCAAATAAGATATGGGAAAAGTGTTACAAATAAGCAATGAAACAAACTTCTATTGCCTATCCAATTAGTAGTTATATTTTTCATTTATTTTGTTGTGAGGATTTGAGTTAGCATCTTCTCGAAGGTCTAGAATGTACTGAGGTGTCAGGTCTTCTAGTAAGAGATTCACTCTTATTTTGTTCATTTGGGAGTGTCTCACTTTTGTACTTTGAAAGAGAATTCTCAGTTGACTTTTTTTTTATTATTCCATAACCATGATTTATCCCACTGCCTTCCTAACTCTGTTGTCAAAACTCAGCTGTGCTTCTAAGAGTCAATAAACATACTAGGTATGTTTTGCTATTTTCATGAGACTCTCTTTGTCTCTGACAGGTGGTGCTGACTGGTTTTATGTCAACATGACATAATGGAGAGGAGGGAACCTTAATGCCCTCATGAGTTGTGCCTGTAGACAAGCCAGTAGGGCATTTTCTTAATTAGTGATTGATGTAGGTGGTGCCTGGTGCTCCTGGATTCTATAGAAAGCAGGTTGAGCAAGCCAGTAAGCAGCACTCTTCCATGCCTTCATGTTCCTGCCCTGTTGGAGTTCCTGCCCGACTTCCTTCAGCCATGAACAGTGATGTGGAAGCACAAGCCAGATAAACCCTTTCCTCCCTAATTTGCCTGTGGCATGCTGTTTCATCACAGCATTAGGAACTGTAAGACATAGATTGATTTTATGTGTCTAGTTATGGATATTATGGAGTTTACTTGAAGTTTTCTGAGTCTCTTGGATGTGTAGATAAATATTTTCTATTAACTTTTAGAAATTCTTTAGACATTTCTTCAGCTATTCCCCTCACTTTTTTCTTCATTTCCTTTGAGACTCCATTACACATCTGTTGGTGGTGTGATTGATAATGCCCACAGTCTCTGACTCTCTGTCTTTCTCCATTCTTTTCTTCAGACTGCGAGGAACAATCTCAGGTGACCTATATTCATGTTTGTTGATTCTTTAGTCTGTTCACATTGGCTATTGAATCTCTGTGGTGATTTTTTTTACTATAATTATTCAGAAATTTTATAGCCAGAGCTTCTATTTGATTCCTCTTAAGTGGCCCTGCTGCTTATCAGATAGGCAAAAACCAAGAATTAAATTTTTAATTTGTGCTTTTGTTTTTTATTTTCAGAGAGTGAAAAGAGAAGACAGTGGATTAGCATCTAAAATATCTGTCTTCTGTCTCATCTTCAGACAGCAGATCATATAGATAGAGGATACAAGGAAAGTCATTCCAAAGTTTAGGTCCACCCCTCCGGTCAGGTGGCTGCTCACTCTTGCCTCTGAGATTCACTGTGCTGGCTCTTTTCTCTGTTTCACCTTTCGACCTAGCTTGGTGTAGGTGGTGGTGATGGAAGACGATGGGGTGATGATGCTGGTTCACAGACACCAAGGCCACTGAG